CGAGGTGCGTTTCAATAAGTCTTCCTACCAATATGACCATGTTGCGAAAACAAGGTCAAACAACCACTATGTCTTACATTTGCTCGCAATGGGTATATATATCATAGAGAACAAAGAAGGTTAGTCCTCTGGACTTAATGTTAACTTGAGGCTTTTGCAAGAATGAATCCCAGCTCGCCACGTGGCCCCTATTCGCCCGAAACGCTGGCGGATGCCTCGTAGACTGCATCAACCTGAACGGCTGCAGTGCATCGCAGATCTGCCAACTTATTCTGGTGAGATTGACCCCCGAATCTCTTCATCATGTACTTTATTCGAAATGAAAGTCTTCACATCAAGCTTATTTTAGAAGATTCTTCGAAACCTGTATAGACATGGAAACGTCTGTGACGGCAAAGTGTATCGACTAACGCATTGAGATTACACGCTGAACTGCCATGGTCCGACTCCTGCTGGAGGTGTTGATAAGACTTAGGCGAGGTCAAAACTGTAATTCACTCCAGCCTGAATTAGAACACCTTTTAGGAACATAAGGTTATGTGAAATTCAGCCGAAACGTCAGCTTTACTCATATGTTTGTATGATCATTCAACTGCAAGCCCCAACTACAAGATAAGGTTGATGTGTTTCGTGTAACTGATTTACTAGAATCCTTGAAGCCATACTCATGAACGAAAAAAGGAGACATAAACACGTTGACAATTCACATAACAGTCGGTTTGTCTGCATCACGACCTAGGGTACCTATTCAAGAGTCCGACCACACCGGACATACCGACCACACAGAACACTCTAACTACGGCGTCCATACGTTCAGCATACATCCGATGGATCAGAATATTTAGAATGACCGGATTGCTCGGAGGATAGGGGAAGAATTAGCCGACGAATGAACCAACCATACCAACTACAGCGTCCACGTCGACAACACTGATCAGACCGACCAAACATTCATGAACAACCGGATTGCTCCAATTGAAAGAAATGATTAAACCGACTGAACGTGCCTAACCAAAGGAACTGACAGAACCGAACCAAATAAACAAACCGACCGAACATACCGAATTGAACTTATAGACAATACCACTGCAACGATCAGACATAACGCACAGATTAGAACGATGAGACCATTCAAATGCAACGAACGACCCAATCAAAAGAGCCGAACAAACTGGACCAAATAAAAGACCAATTTAACATCATCTACCGCAACGATAACAACGTTCATACTAGTAAGGTCTTCCAGAATGATTGGATTGGTTTTAAAGGAAGGTAACCACCGAAACGTCCTAATCGACTGAACCAAACAAACTAACCAATACGACAGAACCGACCTAATCGACCATATCAATTGCATCACTATCTACTGACTAGATTGAGCGTATTTTCCACATCTTCCAGAATTACCAAATCGACTAAACGCAATGACAATCAATCAACTGAACCAACTGTTCTGTCTCCACCGACATTACTGACCGAATTGGACGGACTAACCTAACCGAATCAACAGGCCACATCAAGT